TTAATATTATCTACTTCAATTTTATCATTATCATCTTTCTTGTAAACTGTTTCAAAATCTTGTTTCCACTTTTCCAATATAACATTCTTATCTGTTGAAACTTCATTATTTTCCAGTAACACAGATGCAAAAGTATTCATCGATTTCTTTTTTGGAAAAGTCTCATTTAAGTATTTCCAAAATGACGATCCATCGTGTCTAAAATTAGACAAATTGTTACGTATATTAGAATAATGCTGCCGCTCCTTTTGTCGTAATAGCTTATCAAAATCTTTTCTGATTTGTATATAACGCATTCTAAGGTTTTGCTTATCTTCATGCTTTCTAGTCTTTGAATACAGTCTTTCAACATTGACAAGTTTTTTTCTCATCTCAGATAGTCCAGCATCCCACCATGGTTTATTTCTTTTTATTAAACGTTTCTTTGATTTGGGTTTAACTTCTTTGAATGGTAAGCTTTCATCCATTTCAGAATGAATTATATCTAAAATTTCATCAACAATTTCATTTATAGAACTGTTCATTGAATCATAATCGTCTAATTGTGTAATCATACTTGAGATTCCTGATCTGAAGTTTTCGCTATCCAGAATGTCTTTTTTCATATCATTCACAAAGTACCTTTTTTTCGGGATTTTATTATTCTCTGTACACGGCATGTTAGCGCTTCGCCATTGTTTATCGTCCTTGTGATCAATGGGTTTACTGTAATGTACACTCGGCGATATATTAATGGAACAGCATAACAATGAATGATCTGGCTTATTTTTTAAAGGTAACATTAAGTTAAATCGTTCAGCCAACTCACTAACCAATAAAACATCGAACGATGTAAATAAATCAAAGTACAGTAAATGTGTGAAAAAATAATCAACTACAGATTTACCTATTTTCGACAAATACGTACAATTATCTAAACCCTTAAATCTACCATTAACTACACACATATCGCTATCATGCAAAAATTCTATAAAATATTTACCATACTTATTTTTAACATCGTCAAAAACCGATCTTTCTGGAATATGTACAGGTAATGAATCATATGCAATATCATTTAAATTTCCTATTCTACCATTCACATCACCACAATAGAATGTAGGGAAATCATCATCAAATATGTGAGTAGTATATAAAAGTGTGTCATAAAATTGTTGAGCATTGTCACCTCTACTGGATCCTTGGGGGGATAAGTAGCATACACATACTTTAAAGCTATTGGTATCATCATTTTTATCTGAAAATTGCACAAGATAAATGTCATCACATGCTTTATACAATTCCGTCAGATTATACATATTCAATATAGAGTCCTTAACAAGTATTCCAACGCCACCAGACCCCCGGGGACATCTTGGATTTATATCGTGTGACCTGTTGTTACCATACCACGTATACCCATCTATGTTAATACTTTCATCTTGCTTTAGGTGAGTTTCACAAAGGGCAATAATATCATAGTTTGTTGCTTTAATGACATCTCTTCTGAATGTCACTGAACTAACGTTCGATTCATACCAACCACCTATATTCCATTCTGCTATCGTTAAACGTCCATCATGATCACTTGGAGACTGGCTCTTGTCCTACCAATCACTAGTATCATTTCTCATCTCCCTGACATCATATTCATCATCATAATAGCGGCCTCTGAAGTTGTTGTTAGCTCCGTAATAGCCTCCTTTATGATCATCATTGTCGAAACGACCTCCGTAGCCAGGGTGCTTATTATCATAGTAACGATCATAAGCAGGATAACGATTCCTGTCGCTATTGTTGAAATAACGACGTCCAGAGTCTTGGCTTTTGAAGTAACGATCTCTATGATAAGCGTCATTATTGCCACCATTGGGATCTTTGAAATCTTCGTTGCCAAGGTAACGCCCTCTATTCGGGTTATTTTGCTGCTGTCTGTAGTTGTCACGTGTAGAGCCTCTTTCTATTTGCAGCCTCCCACTATTGGTAAAAGAGTACGCTTTGTTTTCAAATCCGGGTATATTATTCAGTAGTTCCTTACAATTGATCTCAATCAATCTCTTCTCATGTGATTTTGACGGTAGGAGGTACACGTTTTTGAAGCGATCGTCATTCTTCAACATTTGCTTCTTTTTTAGAATTTCTATTTTGGCTTCCGGGTTTCTGACCTGCATTTTTACAACACCAGGCTTGTGTCTATATCGCTGTCGACACCTTGCAACATTTGAAATGATGTCAGGTGACATATTCAGGCCCTCCCTCATCAATACCTTTATTTTTTCGGATATATACTCATTTTCCTTTTGTGGAACATTTAGTACAATTATTGTCGTTTCCTTTTCAAATGGATATTCAGCCATCCGAGATGGCTTTTCATGAACATTATTGGGAGAATTTTGTATAATGGGTCTGAAAGTTGCGTTATAAATAACGATTCCTTTTCAAGTTTTTTCAAATTAAAGCGTGGCTGTCGGCACTTAATATCTTAAATGTAAACTCAAAACGTGAACTCTTTGCATATGATTCAAAAGCCTTAAAGAAAATAGAAGAAAATATTTCAAATAAATTCTGGAAAGATTTTGTTTACACTTTTAGAATATACACTGAACAAAAAGAGAAAGAGGCAAATCATGATTTAGAATTGAGGGCTGAACTTGCTATGTGCAACACTTGGGCAAAGCTTACAAAGAACCAAAATGTAAGAGCCAATGGAGAGACAATTGTACTACAAGATATGTTTCATCAGTCTAATATAATTCTTAATCAAGAAGAATTCAATGAAAAGTTCAATACAAACATTAACTTTCTTGACTATTTGAGTCTCAGAAATACAATTCCTAATCAGTGGTTGAGCGATATTAAGAAAAACGGTGATCGTTTAAATAACTTTGAAAGACAAAAAACAACACATAAAAAGACTGGAAAATGATCAATAGAAAACAATAAGGTCAGCAATTTTGAAGCAAAATTAGCTTCATTCAATTTTAAAATTCTTCAGATTTTTGGCCACCAACACATATTTGAAAATTGGTGGATTATCAGAATCGGATCTGTGTACCTTTTGTAAGGTAGAACCAGAGTCAATTCATCTTCTCTATGACTGTAAAGTGATAATGGAACTGACAGTGGTCATTGAAAACTGGTTACCAGAGGAATTGACAGCACTTTGTACAAAACAGAATATTTTAATAGGACCAGTATGTATAAATGACAGAACAATTATCTTGACGAATATGTGGAGTATATTTAAAAGATGTGTGTTCTTATGCAAATACTCGATGTTAAGACCTACCTTTAATGGATTTAAAGCAAATGTTTTATCTTATTGACAAGCAAATAGGCAGAGAAAAAAGGTGGGAAATTATGACTAGTGTGGTAAGATGGCTTAAAAAAAGAATATGATTGAAAATTGTGTTACTTCTATGATATTATGTATATTGTATATGTTAATGTAACTGCTTTCAAACGTTTTTCAATGAATAAAAAAAGGAATGAAAAAAAATTCTACATTCCGATGGTGCTTCCATACTTTCGAGGGACATTTGAAAATTATTAAGCTGTGAAAATTATAGCGTGTAATATGTTATAGCCCCAGTTTTACATCCATTTGAAATATACTTGTCTCGATACAGTGGAGCAGTTTGAATGTGGATACATTTACGTAACAATCAATGTATCCAACCATAATGTGCAGTCCATGCATTACATCACTAGCTTCTTCCTATGGCAACACATTTCAAACAAATTTTCAAAAGAACATATTAATTTTTTTTCATTGAATGCATGTTTCATGCATTGAATTTTTAAAGTGCTTCACTGAACCAAGTCTCGCTGTTGCCATGGCAACCAAAAGTTCACTTTTCTTATAAGGAATCATATTTATATTGATGTATACTCAATATATATGTATGTATATATATATATTGAACATATGCTTGAAGTTTCATTAATAAATCTGTAAAAATAAAAAAAATTAGAGCAAAAAGAAACGGACTTTTCAAATGCCCCTCGAACATGAAATTCCCATTGTTTGGATCAAATGCCAGATCGTTTGCACTTTAAGCCAGACTAGTATTTGTTCCACCTATCATCTACCACCTCCACAGGTACCGCTTTTCAGATTCTATAATTTGAAAGTAAGCTAATTTTTATAGTGTCTTATTAATTTTACACTGTTGCCTTCATAATGTTCCTGAACAATAGCAGCTTTGTTTATCATTATTTGTCCAAATCAATTTATAACTTTTTCGTGTCTGTCTAGAATATCAGCACCACAGTCAAGTTCTGCTACTCTATTATATAATTGTTTGAGCTTTAAACAAAATGCATTGATTATTCCATCATAGATCTGTGTTACATTCTTCATGTTCTCTAAATGTATTGGTGATGTGGAATTTTCCCGATGAATTATCAGTAGTGGAGCGGAGATAACTGGCGTTTTCATTCCTCCTCATGATCAGCATCATACAATTTCCATTTTAATTATATCTGCACAACACCTTAGTTTGTCACAAAATGTTCACCATCTTTTAATTGAATACCACACACAGATGTGATGCTTTAATCGATATAAATATATATATTCTTGACATCTTTCTTTATCTTGATGTGAAATAACACGCAAGAAATGAACATTTAGCATTACAAAATTTTGAATCTATCATTCAGTTTGCAATATAGCTACCAATGAATAAATATAATTTGAATCATATACTTATATGTTCGTCGTCTTTACTACTGACAGGTTAATCTATAATTTGTGGGGTATTCCCACTCTTAAGTCAAACGATTTCTCTTGTCTTGATAATCACGAGAAATAGACCCAGAATCAGATACATACAGGTAATCCATGTGTTCCCATGATTTTGTATTAGATTTATTTATTTTTTGCAGGTAGTGGTGCCCTTATTAAATTAACGATATATTCCGACTTCGGGATTCCATTGACAATTGCAAATACCAAGTTGGTGTTCGTACATCCAAATTCCTCCACACTGCTTTGGAGAATAAAGAAATTCTCCAGTTTAAGAATAACCTGTTTTTAATCGTTTTTGTAATTTTGACAATTGCTTCTGTTTAGCGGACTTTCTAGTGATTCCATCATTGTTCTTCGTATAGTGGTGATCATTAATTGAAGCAGCATCAGATTCAATGACATTAACCTTATTATCATTTATATTAAAACGAACCTCCATATCTTTAGTACTGTCTCTTCTACGCGATGAGCCTGAGTTAGCTTCAAATGCGTGTTTGGTGGGGGGATGCTTTGAATCAGTTTTATCAATGCTCACTAAATTAGCACCCTCTCGCCAATTGAACGCACTTTTGATTCTTTCTTTTTGTTCATGGTTTACGACATCAACTGGTCGACATATAGATGTTTTTGGACGTTCGGTATGTTTAACGCCTTCATTAGCATTTATAACAATGCTTGGATGATTTTCAATTATTTTGGATTTTGGTAGAATCGTATTGTTTTCATGTGCAATTTTCTTACCAGTATCATCAACAACCATTACATTAGTGTCTTCCAAACATGGCTCACTTTCATTACAGTCCATATTATCTTCACTTTGATGATCGTCAACATATTTAGATGTATCCGTGAGACTGCTCCCTGCAGATGTATCACTATATATACTGTCTGAATCAGAAAACACTGTGTTATCCATCCTTGACACTGATCTTACTGGTGGATCAATAGCAAAGTCAGTACTTTCATCATCAGAGCTATATTCTGTGTATTCATCATCCTCTGTGTTCTCATCAATACCTTTGTCTTTGTCTTTATCTTCTATTTTTGTGTTGTCTTCTTCCGATACGATGTCTTTAGTTATAGCTTCCTCAATTGTTTCATGATGGTCGTATTTCCTCCATCCACCACTAGTGTTGTGCTTGAGTTTGTCATCACTTTCAACATTTTTACTAGTATCTGTCGGATGTATTTTATTAGATCTCTTTGAACCTGATGTATCTTTGGATCTTTTTGAGCTATTCTTTGATCGTTTTGACCCAACGCTGGTCGAGCTACATGTTGATCCACTTTGGGATGATTGCGTTGATGTTCCACTGCGGAGACTTATCTTTGAAGCATTTATACATGGTGGTTTAATTACATCATGGTCAGGCTCTATGTCTTCAATATTATTAGATGACCAAGCCATCTTCACCTGTTCTTCCTCATAGTCTCTATACTCAACCCCTTCAATGTGGTCACCTTTATTTTCATTCATCTCAATATTGTCAATATCCTTGTCATCTGATGTATCCACATTATTATCTATATGAGTGTTTATTTCTATACGTGGGCTATTGTTCCAGTCATCAGGTATAGGTAAAGATGTATCAGTTTCTGCTATACTGGTATTTTCATCTTCATAATATTCGTGAATATCGTTTGATTTGTAAGCTATTTTATTGATGGGTCGACTTGCTGTTGGGTCAGCCCTGTCATAATTGTTCTCAATGACCTTAACCTCGGCATTATCTTTAAACCCCACGACCTTGACCTCTGTGACCTTTTCAACTGCCCCATCTATTGCTAATGTAGATTCCTTAGGGGTCCATTTTATACACATCCTGAAGTTCAAAATACTAGGATTGGTGGATCTCTTATATGGATGATGTTAGTTCACGGTGCAAGAACATGTGAATATTAGTGTAATTTGACTCTCAAATGTACTTTTGTGTATGGTTTTCACGGAACACATGCTTTTCAGTAAGTATGTTTCATAATTTTGAAGAACTTAGTTCTAGACCCGGGTTCTAGTGGAACGTGCATAATTAATTTGAATCTACTATGTAATATTATTAAGAGTCTAGAAAAAATTTGACGACTTACCATAATATAAAAAGCAGCAAAAAGATGAAGATGATAGCGGACACTATCACTATGATTATAATATTTCTCCAGAATTCTTTTTCCTCGAATGCAACAGTTGGTGGAACGTATGGCACTGAAAGAGATAAAGCAATGCATGGTGCTCAACAAGTATATGAGATTCGATTGATAGATGTGAAATTTGTATTGAAAGTTTGCTGATAATCTGCTTCTTAGTCAAAAACTACAGTACCTTACGAAACATGCTCAAGTGGGTACCTCTCCTCTCTATATTCAATTGTGCATAAAGAGGACTTGGTCATGTTTTGTAAGGTACTGTAGTTTGTGACTCAATAGGCAGAGTATCATGCAGATCACTTGTAAGTGATATGCTATGACATTGATCAATTCAACAGGTAGATAGGATTTTCTTTTTCTTACCTGAGAGTATATGTATGGTCACCTTTACAGTACATGTGCTGTTTCTGGGAATATATCCATTATCTGTGGCGACCACCGTCAGCTCTAGGACACCATTGTTAGCTATACTGAGCAGGTCTAAAGCAGGTGGTATCAACACAATGGTGGCAGCTTTGGGATCAATCCATGCTGAAACCTATAGATTGCAAAACACTAAAATATTATATCTGATTCATTAATATGGTACAAAGTTGATGTTGGATACAAGTCTGTCACTACTTCGCATTTGCATACTTTTATCTTATACAAGATATGTTAATGTATTTTATTTTACTTCCCTACCTCCTGCCTGTATTATACAATTGATCTATTTAGCATATCATTTTTAATTGTATTAATTAGCAGATAGCGTAAGTATACTCTTAATTATGATTTAGGCTAGTGAATTGCCTGTTTTCCCCAAGTATCAAGAAAAAACAACAATAAGCCCCTGCTGTGCAAATTACATGATCATACGTTTTCTACAAAACTCCAAGTGCACTTTAACCGCTAATTACGATGTGTCAATCTTGTCGGCTAACCGCGTGTGCCAACCGTGTTGGCTCGTTGCTAGTGCAGCACAGGAGTTCGATTGCAATAACCGTGATGTAAATGCGCTCGGATGAGCTATTTTGTTGAAAACACGTGAGCAGGTTATGAGCACTGCAGGGCTTATTGTTCTTTTTAGTGATACCTGGGGAGGAAACTCATTAAAATATTACGCAATTCACTAGCACCGCCGGCATACAAAAATACAGCCTTAATGCAATTTGATCGTACTTATTAGCTAGATCATGGTTGTATATATGATTAGGCTAATTTAGCTAATTAAGCTGATAATGCTTGTCTAGCTAATTAAGTGTTTAACTTTACTCCCTAATGGCAAATTAGTATTTTAGAAATTGATAAGATAAAAAGCTATATAGCTAAATGTTTAAGTTATATCGGTGCAAAATATACAAAACAGTTAAATAGAATTTGGATTCAAAAAAGGAGTGGTATCGATATGGTCAACTTTTTGAACACACATTTCTCTTATACCAGTCATCAAAAGAATCTGAAAAATTTACACATCGCCATTTTAATGGTGATATTTTTGGATGGTAACATTATAATTTGAAATATATATTATACACCTTTCTCTATATTGTTTTAGAAAACACATCAGACACTTCTTTTGTTCTTGGTACCATATGTTCGGAATGAAATGAAACATCTATCCGAACCTCATTGGAACAAAATGACATAAACACAACGTGTTTAGGTCTCTCAATATTGTAATTGTACAAAGGAAAGTTTGGTTGATTTAAAAAAAGTATCTAGTTGATGAAATAAAAAGTTTATCTTAATTTTTAACTACGTATTTTTTGGAGGGGGGCTTTGTTTTAATTTTTTGCATACTTTTTGTTAAATCAACCAAAATTTCCTTTGTATAACTATATAATATTGAGAGGTCTAAGAAAATGTTGTATATGCTATTTTGTTCCAACAAGGTTCGGAAAGACATTTTATTTCATTCTCAAGAATTGGTAGAGAGGAACAAAAAACAATTGCACTAAAAACAAAAAATGTTAACAAAAACAGTTGTATAAAATATAAATAAATAATTCTCACATTAAATTGTTGTCAATCAGTTATCATTACATAAAGGATCGTGTTTTTTTACAGAATGTTTTCAGTAATTGGTTTAAGAGAAAAACATTCAGTTCACCATATCGATACCTATCCTTCAGATTTTAGAAATTGCACAAACCATAGATCCATTCTGTGAAAGACTGTAAGTTATATCCCCTTCTTGACCAGAGTCAAGGTCAGTTGCAGTAATATTAAGGTAATCTAGTGACGTATATGCTTTTGCATTGTTGTATATAGTGGCATTATACACAGCTGAAATAAAAGAAATATGTTCAAAAATAAAAGCTCTATTTGATATAAGTATATTAAATGTTAAATTTTGTTCATCAAATAGTGCCATTAAAATTGGAAAGATAGATGGACAATAAAATAGTTAGTACCTCTTAATGTAAAGGCTAATTAAACAAGAAAACTGCATATTAATGCAGGCCAATATGAACAGAGGGAAAGAAGAGACGGGGATGGAGTGAACGCAATCAATTTGGTGGCTTGGTAAAGATGAAGTGTTCAATATAATCTGTTGTTAGTAAAAACTGAGGTAAAGGGACAGTTGTAATATACTTCTAAAGTAATAAACCTAGTGTATGTTAACCTTTCTTACGCATGTACCCTTAAATATGCCTTTTTATATCATTTGAGGACCTATTGCGAAATCGATATCTGCCTATCCAAAAAAGTATTTTGGGATCGATGTATTATTAAAAAGGTTATTGATAATGTTTCTTGGTACACCCTGCAGGCAAACAAGATATAAATGTTTGCACTTAATTTATAGAGGATACAATATTTACTTACATTGGTTGAAGACAGGCGCGTGGTAGTTCCGGTTGACGAACTTCAGAGTCAGTTCAACTAAATGTACATCCCCTACCAATCCCAATGCCCTGTCAATGGCCTCTACCTCAAGCTGTAATATGAAACAAGAGTGCAATATGAAGGACAACCCCTACTAATCCCACAGCCCTATCAATGGCTTCTATCTCAAGCTGAAAAAGAAACAAGGGTGCAATATAAGGGACATCCCCTGCCAATCCCAAATGCCCTATCAATGGCCTCTATCTCAAGCTGAAAAATGAAACAAGAGTGCAATATAAGGGCCATCCCCTGCCAATCCCAATGCCCTATCAATGGCCTCTATCTCAAACTGAAGAAGAAATAAGAGTGCAATATGAGGGACAACCCCTACTAATCCCACAGCCCTATCAATGGCCTCTATCTCAAGCTGAAAATAAACAAGGGTGCAATATAAGGGACATCCCCTTAAAATCCCAGTGTCCTATCAATGGCCTCTATCTTAAGCTGAAAATGAAACAAGAGTGCATTATAAGGGACATCCCCTAAAAATCCCAGTGCCCTATCAATGGCCTCTATCTCAAGCTGAAAATGAAACAAACATCGCAACATATATATTATTTTCACCTAAATTATTAAATCTTTCGTGTTTTATGATGCTCCTAACCGCTTGCTGATGTATCTATGATGTCAGAGTTATTAATCCTAAATGTTTTGAGATTCAGAGGGTAATGTGGAGGACGAGAAACTTCCAAATGTAAAAACGTCACAATCTGTCGTGTTCAAAAGCGAAAATGTGTAACAATAAGTGCACGAACTTTTTGAAAAATAAATATGCATACAATATATCCACTTAGACAATCGAGCACCTTTTGCGGAATTGAATTGCAATAGTTACATCTAAAGTATATTTACGATGACACTTCGATAGCAGTAGAATATACAAGTGTATATTCAACATGCATCTTTTTGAATTGCAATATGATTGTATATCTAAAATAGTACTTACGATTACACCAATATCAATTGTGATGCCTTTCTCCGTGAAATTAAACTCCTTAGCAGTGACAAGAATCCCACTAGTCGCATTAATGCTGAAGTAAGAACTGTCAACTCTAATGTACAACAGCTTGTCTTCTGATTCAATACTTGCTACTGAGGAGGAGGATTTGATACGATAGTCCACCTCGTTATTCGGAGCGAGATCACCGTCTGTAGCATTCATCGTGGCGATAAAAGTACCAATAGTTGCGTTCTGAAAAATCATGAATTCATTTTCGTCAATATATGATATGCAAAATAAGATTAAATGATAAATTCTAACAATGGGTGGGCCAGTGGGGTAGCTGCTGACCGTTTTTATTTCACAAGTGGTACGAGTGTCAACTCCATCAATAGAGTCAATGGAATATCACTTTCCATTTAGCATTAGGCAGGTCTCATACTTGTACCTAGAAATTTTATTTGTTAGCATGGTCCACTTTCCATGTAGGAGTCAACGTTAATATAGACCTTATATTCAGGGAGACTATATTTACCCTGACACCAGTCTTATATATCTTTTAAATGGTTTATTGGGAGTGTGTATATTTCTCATCTTTAGTAGTATCATCTTACTTCCTACCTGCCATAATGTTACATAAGTAATGTTTGTAGCAAATTTTGGAGTTTCATCGTTCGCGTCAGTTATATTAACACATATTGTCGTATTTCCCGACATTGGAGGTATACCATCATCAACAGCCAAGATAGTCATGCAGTAAACTGGCTGTGTTTCCCTGTTCAAAAGCTTAACAACTGATATGTCACCAGTAGTAGCGTTTATGGCAAATGGCCCTGTTATATACACTGCTCGTTTCCTTCTTTTTCCTAGAAATGTTAATAAAAAATATATACACTATAATAGCAGTTTTCACAAGTATACAAAAATTATTTGGAAAATTACTCCAAGAAATAACCCCGGGGAAATAACATTGTTTACAGACATATTATTGGTCAGGGTTACAATAGACTAGATGCGAATAGAAATAATCTTGAATTACGTCATTAAATATTAAAAATTCAGTCAAAATGATGTCATATTTGAAATCTACATGTAAAAGTACATCTAGGAAAAATGGTTTCGAAAATTGTTTATCAACTTTAAAAATTTAATTCTTTTTGAAAATGTGACTTCTAGCTCGGGTTGATTCCTCATAGACCCCATGTTACAAAATCACAAAAAGTGAAATATCTTTTCTTGTATTGGACAGATGACATTTTCTTTTACTGGACATATTTTAATTTGCATAACTATTAGATACATAAGGGTTATATACAAAATTCAACCACTAAAACAGATGTAATTTAAGTTAAAGGGAACTTTCTACTATACCCGCCGTGTTATCTGACCCGAACGAGCCACCTGGTGGCGAAACTGGTAACTACCTACTCGCATCTGCGTTATTGTATACCTGTGTATTCTTCACCGATGATCTCGTAGGTGATATCCCCATTTACCCAACCATCAATGTCAGCTGCTGTTACCCTATATATGACGGTTCCTATTGCCATATCCTCTGTAACGGTCACTTTATATTCAGTCTCATTGAAGACAGGGCTGTTGATATTGTCCGTACTGAGGATCAGGACAACCTATAGTACAGATCAATGAATTAATAAAATATACAACGTTCGTAAGTTTGAAACATAATCTTTATTTTTTGTGATCGATCCCTAGATAAAGTATATATTTCCGCTCGTTATTTACCTAGAACCTTAGTAGGTATGGAATACTAATTAAACCTCTATAAAGACGAAAATGCAATCAAAAAGATATCAAAAAGAAAATTGTAAATTCTGATTTGAATACTCCAGATTAAAAGCGGACAATATTATGCCTATAATTCATTCATCATAGACTTTCAAAGTCTACTTACATCAGTGGTTGCAGAGAACAGACCATCTGTAACATCCAGCTTAGCCAGGACCGTAGGTAGATAAGCTGGTAACCTCTTAGCGAGTGTTAGCGTTCCATTATTATCTTTAGTCGCATTGAATAGTGAACTATAGGCTCCTACAATAGACTAGATGCGAGTAGAAATAATCTTGATTTACGTCATTAAATATTCAAAATTCAGTCAAAGTGATCTCATATTTGAAATTTGCATGTAAAAGTACATCTAGAAATATGGTTTCGAAAATTGTCTATCAACTTTGAAAATTTGATTTTTTTGAAAATGTGACTTCTTGTTCGGGTTGATTCCCCATAGACCCCATGTTACAAAATCACAAAAAGTGAATTATCTTATCTTGTATTGGACAAATAACATTTTCTTTTACTGGACATATTTTAATTTGCATAACTATTAGATACATAAGGGTTATATGAAAATTGAACCACGCAAATAGATGTAATTTAAGTTAAAGGGAACTTTCTACTATACCCGCCATGCTATCTGACCCGAGCAAGCCATCTGGTGGTGAATCTGGTAACTACCTACTCGCATCTGCGTTATTAAATTATGGTATTAATCAAATTAAATCTTTAACTGGCATAAATGGAGTGGACAATATTATGGGATCACCAATCGTTCCGATTTTAAATAAATATGTGTGGTCCATATTAACCTGACACGCTGTAGTTGAGTGAGCCAATGTCCAGATCGGATGCGACTGCAGTTTGCACAAAGCTCCCAACGGGAGCACTTCTAGACATGTATACAATGTAGTTGGACTGTGGAAAGCTTGGGGCGTGGTTGTTGATATCAAGGATGGTAACATTGATGGTAGAATTACTGGAGAGAGGGGGATTCCCACTATCTGTAGCTGTCACAATGAAACTGATTGACTGGACTAACAAGAAGTCAAACGTATTGTTCTGTAGGTTGAGGTCTCCTGTGTTAGCTGGAAATAGAAATATGGAAGTAAGTATACATCTAAGAAGACAACATTTCAGATCATAATTACTGCATGCAAATATTAAGCAAAAACTAAAAGGTTGGAGCATCGCCCTGGTACATGGTATAATATGCATATTAAAACTGACTTTATATGCAAAGTCTTACCATTCATTTTGAAGTTATTTGACAATCCTGTTTCGTCTATGGTATATGATATATCTTTATTAGGTCCTGAATCCGCATCCACAGCTTTTACTCTTGTCATCTAGAACAATTAAACGTAGATTTTATGTTACTCGAATTTAAACTAATAAAAGTCGTAAAGCGGTAGATATTATAAGAATAATCCTATGGTTTTGAAAAAATATCATTTATATATTTCTATGAGTGGATATTGATATCTTCAAGAGTGAACGCAGCGAATGAGTTAAGATAGTGATATCCATAAGTGAATATAATTGATATTTTTGAAGAACCATAGGATTGTCCGTTTATCCCATGGGAACTCATCATCGGCGAAAAATTGAAAAAATACATAATGTCATCAAAATTCAAATTCTATCAACCATTTAAACAAACAGCATCCGTTCAATTACTTACGTAGCCTCTTGAGATGAACTCTGATACACTGATTTCATAAATGGTTTGGTTGAACACCGGGTCATTATCATTATAGTCAATGACGTTTAAGATGATCGTAGCATTCGACTCTAGTGGGATATCTCCGTTATCCTTGGCAAACACAGTTACATTGTACCTAGTGATGTTCATTGCCTCGAAGTCGAATGCATTATTCAAAAGAGATATGTTACCAAATTGACCTGGAAATAAAAATGCTTCATTATATGAGATGAAAATAGATGGACTCGTCTTCTATTTGAACAACTGCATCATTAGTCTTTGATGTGCAAAAATGAATGGACAATTCAGTGCATCCATCAACACACGTCCCTCGCAGATAGAGAATCAAGATTTATTAAGGTGCTATGGAAGTTAACAGGAAATGACAAAACAGGAAGTGACAAAAATGTTTGCATTTTTAGACATTTTTGAACAAAGATAACAGAGTTCTGGTTTGACCTCCAGTCAATCTTATTATTTCAACATATCATTTACATGGCCAGAATCACCATGTGCATGGTCGGAATGACCCTAAACATGATGAAATAACCTTTTTAGCCCTTTGGAAGTGTGGCTGAAAAAAAGCTAAAAGTAGGAGCTAGAGAAGGTCACTGAACAGAATCTTTTGAATTTTTCAGAAAAATGTGCCCAATATAATGCTCTAACTGATACAATCTTTGAAATTTTAGAAAATTGTTTAAAACAAAAATGGCGGTCATAAAAAGGAAAATAGATCGCTTTTCAAATCAGTTTTTTCATTTTTTTCTTTTTCTATGAATGATATCAAATTTTCAAAGATTGTTTCATTTAGAGCAATATATTGGGCACATTTTCTGAAAAATTCGAAAGATTCTGTTCAGTGACCTTTCCTACCTCCTCCTTTTAACTTTTTTCCAGTCACATTTTCAGAGGGCTGAAAAGGTTATTTCATCATGTTTAGGGTCATTCTGACCATGAACATTGTGATCCTGGACCTGTTAATGGTATTTGGAACTAGTTGAATTGACTCGGGGTCAAGACAGAACTCTGTTATCTTTGTTCAAAAATGTCTGAAAATGCAAAAATCTTTGTCACTTCCTGTTTTGTCATTTCCTGTTAATTTCCATAGCACCTTAAGGCGTGTTTGTAAATGTTTGTTTTATTTGTAATGTGTATATAATGTTTGACAATGTTCAAAAGAGGTCTTCTTGATTTCTATAAAACTAACTAAAACCGACTTTATGGTGACTATATAATGTTTGATTCAAGTGGCACTTACTGTCTATTGAAAGTCCCATACTGACTGCAGTAGCATCTAGACTATAAGAAATATTGCCATTCTGTTCAGAGTCTAGATCTGTTCCTGTAATAACCAGGAAATCTATGGCTGGTAGTTCTTCATAAATCGTTGCATTGTAGAATGTATTTCCGATAACGGGTGTGTTGTCGTTGTAGTCTAAGATAAATACGTTGACTGTGGTGTTGGATTGTTGAGGTGGACTTCCATTATCAGTGGCAAACACTATAAAACTCGTGTTCTTGAAAGACTCGTAGTCGAATGTGTTGTTCAGCAGGCTAATGTTTCCAGTAATATCTGAAATGACATAAATTCATATACAATGATATTATAATAACACAATTATTCTTTGTTCAACGTTCCCTCATTCTACTAAGTTTCACTGGTCTATTTCCAATAGTCACAATTTGATGGCCATTTTACAAAACCTGCTCCAAATGTCGAAAATGCCAAAATCACCCAATATGAACCCCTAGAATTTTATTCTTGGGCTATTTCGAAGATAATTTCTACACTAAAAACTTTAGAAGCATCAATGAGTTGAGAAATAAGATTTGAAGGAAAATGAGAGCGTGTAGTTAGAAGAACTTCACCTGATGCGTCCAATGATGCGTGGCCATTTAAAATCGACCTTTGAAACTTTGTAGAATAAAATAACATTGAGCGAGATTTAATTGTGCCAAATACAAGTATGATGTTAAACCCACGCTGAATGACCGAGTTGTTGCACACCCTGTACTTTGTCTGATATTGCTCAACATAGCCAGCACTATCTTAGTAAATTAGTCTCAAACATAGGCGTCATAATTGCAAATTAGAGATTTTAAAACAATCAGAATAATATTAAATACGCTTTACCATCAATTGAAAACCCGAATGCAATTGCAGCTGAATCCAAACTGTATGTGACATTTCCATTCTGCTCACTGTCTTCATCTGTTGCCATAGTTACTAGTGCTGATGGCAAAGCTTCTCCCTCAGTCAATGTGATTATGTAGGGTGTACCAACAAAGATTGGTGAGTTGTCATTATAGTCCAAAATAAATACATCCACTGTGGTGTTGGACTGTAGAGGTGGACTTCCATTATCAGTGGCAAACACAATAAAACTCGTATTATGGAGAGACTCGTAATCGAATGTGTTGTTCAATAAACTGATGTTGCCAGTTAATTCTGAAATATAGAAATAGAATTTCGGTATGAATGATATGGTGTCGAAAATTGAATGTAGAGAGGAGGCGTGCCTACTTGGAGCATGTTTTACAAGGTACTGTAGATTTCGACTCAATTGGCAGATTAATATCAAATTTTCTCAACAAAATGCACATTGAACAAAGTAAATGATTTTGAAATTTCAAAGCACAACGTGAAGAATTGATCGAGTTAATCAACTGTTTTTGATCACCCTGTACGTAACGATGACTCATGTGTAACAATGCTTATTCAAGCATTAATTCATTCATTCAAGTTCATACATACTTGTTGAGTATTTACCTCTAGGTGACCTACATAGCTACTTGGGGACCAACTACAATGACTATGTGAAGAGAGCAAATGTTACTTCAGCACAAATTATTATGATATCTTACCATCTATTGTGAATCCATTGCTAGAAGCGCTAGTATCTAAAGTGTAAGTGACATTGCTGTTCTCTCCACTGTCCAAATCACTTGACACGACAGCAAGGACATTTGCAATGTCTTCACCCTCGGTGATCGTAATGTTATATGACAGTTGACCAAACATCGGAGCATTATCATTGTAGTCGTAGATAAACACATCCACCGTGGTGTTGGATTGCAAAGGTGGACTTCCATGGTCGGTGGCAAACACTATAAAACTCGTGTTCTTGATCAACTCGTAATCGAATGTTTTGTTCAACAGACTAATATTTCCAGCGAATTCTAAAAATACAAAAGTTGAAAATCAAATAACGTCAAGCGAAAAACACAAATCAATTCTTGAATAGAACACATTTAATTACCAAGCAATACTAACATACATTATTTCCTAATTAAACAGTCTTCACCACAAACCACACAACATAATATCACATATATTATAGGATTAAATTGGAGCCAGCAGCCCGCGTTTATTGGAAAAGCGTTAAGTACATCTGGTACAAAGAATGAGTGAAAAAATGAAAAAATGAAGCCAGTTCGCGATGCATCCAGGTACCTATGACGGCCACGATGCCAATGTCATAGCGGCCACGATGCCGAAAGCATTAATGCCAGAAACCCCTTAGGTTCAAATATACCCAACATCCGTCCTCGGCTCTCAACCTCGCTGCTGATTTACGATGTTAACTGCCTTCAAGACATCAATAAGGCACCCTATACCTAATTAAAACATCTAAATCCAACAACCCATATCCAATGATCAACTGTCATTAAAGCCATTGTGGCTACACGTTTGTTAACAAGTCAAAGATCTCAAATAAATTCACAAATTTCGGAATAAACCAAATTCTAAATTGTGACTGTATCTGTCAACTTGCACTATAAAAAACTTGTATAATGACCATACACGTATATAGTGCCTTCTAGCACTATGCAAAATCTGTGAGTAATATACCTCACTATCTAATACAGTAATCACAAACTGTCATTAATACATATTAACAATAATCTAAATAACTGTCTACAGACTTGCACTGTAACCATATCATTGCCTCTTGGCAAAAAAACGTAACTTAGAAAGTTAATGAAACTTACTTCTTTAACAGACTGTCGTAATATGCGACATTGTTGGTCACAATAGACAAAATTCCGTGATTATCACAAGAATACACGAACGAACGTATACAAAAATCCTACGATCTTCTAAACAATTGTGATGAAAAATATAAAATCTGGAAAGCACCATGCTTTGCAAACCCTTATACCAACTGGTCTCGTATTGTAACAAAAGCAAAAGTACAACTCTTGGAAACGTTGTAAAATCTAAATACAATAAGAACCGTTTAATATAAAATGCAATTAGCTGACAAGCACTTCTCTTAATGTGTTTGTCACATTAATATAACACAACTACTGTAAAATGTTGTTGATGAACACAACTATCATCTTAAAATACCAAGACTTGATGCCCTTCTGGGAATATATATTACATTTCTAAAAATATAAAGGATTTTCGAATATAATCAATATCTTAAAAAGCAAAACTTTGTGCCTTCCTCGAAACAATATGACGGAAACGCACTTAAATACATGTTTATTCGCTAAGATACAATGCGCTGTCAGTAAAAATTAAACCATGCCTTGAGATTCAGATTTATATGCAAATTACATAATTGCTTCTAAGAAACCTAATATCTAATTGTTTTAATTAACATCCTATATTTGGCAATGCATTGTAATAATTGCAGAAAAGTATACTTCCCAAGATAGTAATAAATGGGAACAGGTTACCTCAACGTCAGAACACATATACTTAATTCAAAAACGTTGATTTGGTCAAAAGCACTTACAAGAAAGTGTTCACTAACTTCAATATGAAAAACGTTAGTTTATTGACCTGACACCGTTAAAACCCAGATCAAAATCTTTGTGACTTCGAAAGGGAAAAAGGTATGCCTCCTCGAACAATAAAACTAAATTTTCGAATCCGTTGTATGACAACTTACAACATAAACTAAAACTGTGTATAAACGCTTAGGTTGCTGCTCGCAGAATAACACGATCCCATCGTGCATCTACTCACATAACCTACTCATGATCACATCATGTTATCCAATCAGTTGAAATCGCGTTCGATTTCACTAACGTTACGATGTTATATCAACCGGAAATAAAATAATTCAACTCTAATTTCAAACGTGTTGAATTTTAATTATTTCCTAATTAAACAGTCTTCACCACAAACCACACAACATAATATCACATATATTATAGGATTAAATTGGAGCCAGCAGCTACGCCAGAATCTTCTAAAAAACGGGCAAACTAGTGACCAAAGCTCGAGATGTCTCTTCTTTGAGACTTCCAACAAAGGTAGTCTTCCTTGAATCAGTCCAAGGCATCGTATCTGTATCACACGTACAAGTATCTGTCTTATATGGATCTCAATCCAACAAAGTAGTCTTCTTTTAATCAGCTCAAAGCATCTAATCTATATCACGCTTGTATCTATCTTATATGGACAAAATGTGTCCCAGTGTTCACATAGGCGTGTGTCCATACTAGGGGTACCACGATACGAGAAATTGAATATCGATACGTATCTACGATACTTACCTCACGATACGATACGAACGATACGATACAATGATACATCGTAAATTGAAGTAAAACTGAACTTTATTTAATTTTTCAAACTTGTAAAGCCGGAAGTACTTCAGCCGGATTACGTTTATTTCACATCACGACAAAGAAAGGTGTAAAATATGCTAACATCGATTAAAACATCTTAACGACGTGTGGTATTCGGGAACTAGAGGGGCAAACGAAGGTGGCAAGCAAGATATGTAATACTATGACTGTCTGTCATCGCTAAGCGCCAAATTTTTCCCTTCAAGAAGGGACTTCCGGTCAAAAAACGATACGACCGATATTCATTTTATGTATCGATACAGCTCGTATCGGAGGTGAATTGCTCGAGCGCTCGAGCACTCGAGCGCTCGTGGTACCCCTAGTCCATACCTTACTATTGGTTGTATTTCTTGTATCTATCTTATATGGATCTCAATCCAACAAAGTAGTCTTCTTTGAATCAGTCCAAAGCATCTTATTTATATCACACTTGTATCTATCTTATAAGGACAACTTGTGTTCCAATGTTCATTTAGGCGTGTGTCCATACCCTACTATGGGTTGTATTTCCTGAAATTACACAGAAATAGCATTAAAAACATGTAAATATCGCATTGTCGCTCCAAGCGACTAACCCCTTTTTGAGGTTGCTAAATTGTACCTGCGTTCGACGCATTATACGAATCCGTCAACCCACGATACAAGTAGACTTAAAGTCTTTTACGTCAGAGTTCGAACTGTACTGCATCAGAACAACTGCTCGACGTAATGGCTATAATGCCAAACATGATAACATTCTTTACGTCGGAGTTCCAACTGTACTTCAACAGAACAACTATTCGACGTACTGGTAATAATGCCAAACATGACAACAATTTTTCGTCGGAGTTCCAACTGTACTTCAACAGAACAACTATTCGACGTACTGGTAATTATGCCAAACATGATAACATTTTTTATGTCGGAGTTCCAACTGTACTTCAACAGAACAACTATTCAACATACTGGTAATAATGCCAAACATGATAACAATTTTCATGTCGGAATGTCAACTGAACTTTAACAGAACAACTGCTCAACGTAATGCCAAACACGTTCAATATAGAATGCAATTAGCTGACGAACACTTCTCTAATGTGTTTGTTACGCTAATATTGTAAATGTTGCTAGGAACACAACTATCATCTTAAAACCATATTAACTACTATTCGACGTAATGGCTATAATGTCAAACATGACAACAATTCTTATTCAACAGAACAACTACTCAACGTAATGGCTATAATGCCAAACATAATAACAATCCTAAGTCAGAGTTCCATTACGTAATTTTACTAAGTGCATTTCTTGTTGTTGCAGGTTAAACATAACAATCAAGTAGTCTATCTGAATTGACAACTTCAAAAATCAATTTACCAATCAACACAATCGCTTGAACTAAACTATTCCAAAATAGATTTTATCATCTTTCAAATAACCTGCTCAATTTCAACCAAAATCATATGCATTAATAAATATTAAACATCAATGTTTGCAAAAACATGGATAATCCAGAGAACATACCTGAATCCAAATAATCAATGTATCAACTCAAACCATTTGTCTATCGTACATAGATTTCTCTATGCTATATACAGTAAACTCTAAAAATGTACAATTATCATTTGGACCAGGAATCGACACACTAAGCTCACGCTTATTTCAAAATGTATCAAGTATGGAGCAACTCCCCAATTTTTCATTTAATCTTCTAGAATTTATTCAACATGCAATAATCGTGCATTTAACTAACAGTGTAACCAAAGTAAATGTCCAAATCCGACTACTCCCAGTCTCTAATCAAGACAATTCAACTATCTTCTAAAGAATAGTCAATTTTATATAAACTCGATCCAGGTTTTAAACCTAAATGATTATATTAGGGAATTCAATTCACCTGCCTAATCAGACTACTTAAAGTATCTATTCGAAATCTTCAACTCGCCTTAGAAAAGTAAGCAAATACAACCATTGTAAAGTATGCGTACCAAGCATATGTCTGAATCCGACTACCCATGTATCGATTCACAACATACCTTCAAAGATAACCATTTTCTTTATCAATGTTATAAACAGAAAAACTAGACCGAACTGTTGGTATAAACACCCTATCAGAAAACCTAAAATGCTGATATAACACAATGCAGTTTTATAGGATTTCACTTCTATTTTACATGACCAGTATTCAACAATATCGATCCACGACATTTTAAGCTAAAAGAGCTATTTATAAACATGTAAATTAAAAATATACTAGTAACATTTTTGCATCTATCAACATAAGCTGTTTGAGCCTGAATACGACTACTCTTAGAACTCATTTGATCAAACAGTTTATTTAACTGAATCAGTCAAATAAAATATTCTCCATAATTTACCAACTTGTCTATGAAGACGAAAAGTTCTGAATATAGAAACTTATACAGGATACAATTTGTTTTTGTACGGATATTCAGTATCTAAAAAGATATGCCTGAACCCTACCCTCCTGGTAACGATTCACGACATTTTCCAACCAAAAAGTTCTTTATGATTACTCTCAGAACCCCTTAATGTCATTTTGATCATTTCTAAATATGAATCAATGTTGTGAGTAGCAAACAAACATGTTTGCGATAACATATAGCCTACGAAAAATTCATTAAGAATCTGTCTAATCCAAGCATCCTCTTGATAATAAAAGTTATGAAAGTGTACAATTTCATTTGCAGGATATGAAGTATCCAAGGTGTAAGTATGAATCCGACCCTCCTGTTAGCGATTCACTGCAATAATGTCATAAGCTTATAACTTAAATACTATACAAATATAGATTACCAAACAACGACATTTAACAATTCAATGACTCCTGAGTAACACAACTCGTTAGTTGTTTGTCATGACTTACAAAATTGAAATGCTTACGTTGCACAACTTTATTAGTTTATACAAAAACTATAATGTAATATCTATCTCTGTATATGCGCAACATAACAGTTCATTTGAAAAACGTTTGCTACAAAATAACATTTTAAAATCTTTGCCCAACACTGCTTTTTGCTGAACCGAGGGAGCATATTTGCACCTTGCAAATACCATGTCTGAAACAAATCAACAAGCCTCAAAACCGTAACTCTGGTTTAAAAGCTGCCAAATCTAAATAGGATGTTTGTTTGTAAGGATTCCATCTCCCTATAACACATAAAATGCAGTCTTTGTAAATCTTCGGAAAACGTACCCGTTTGCGTAGTGACCTAAATATCTGAAACAATTTCAAAAACATGAATATTTTGACAGTCAAGCTACAAACATCAAACGTCTGTAGCAGTGTGACGTCTTGCCCATGACTGAACGATTGATCTTGCAATCTTTACTGTTTAGTGCTCTTGCACCAGTGACCAATCTAAATGTTGTTGTTTTTTAGCAAAACTTACAAACCCTCTATCCTTACATTAATAAAAAGGATATTTGATATGCGAAGCAAATCTGTATAACAATTACTTATCTTATTCATTGCGATAGCTGAACCCTCTTTGTTTAGCGTTCTCGCAATCCAAACATTGGTCCTTAGCGTTGACTTCTTCTCATGAACCAGCGCACCTCTCGGGTAACGTCGCATCGTTCGATGTTACTGAAACTCAAACGATAACATGGTCACTTTTCGGGTTTACATGTATAATATCGTTTCAATCGTTTATGCAGAGCATTTTGATATGTGGTCGATTACTCTAACCAATCAACAATCTTTTCTATCTGAGGAACACCTTACGAAATTGCAAAACATTACTTGTTTCAATATAAACTACTTCTTACCCTTGCCAAATCGCAGGTTTTCTTACTGCATGTAAGACGAGTATCAATCCCAATGTAGAAACACATTGACGGTATTGCAATATATGCATCCTCTGTTCATCGTGTATAGGTATCAATATATGCATATAACAAGGGCTAAATGATAAAAACCGAATGCACCCATAATAGTCGCATCTAGCTAAAACTGTGTATAAACGCTTAGGTTGCTGCTCGCAGAATAACACGATCCCATCGTGCATCTACTCACATAACCTACTCATGATCACATCATGTTATCCAATCAGTTGAAATCGCGTTCGATTTCACTAACGTTACGATGTTATATCAACCGGAAATAAAATAATTCAACTCTAATTTCAAACGTGTTGAATTTTAATTCAAAATAGCGTTATGGACTATCGAAAGACAGAGTCGCACCAATCACTTAACTTGTAACCGAAGAGAAACTTTTACGTCCTAATTTAGTTTTTCCTATTTCTTACCCATTATAGTAAATCCATTGTTTGTTCCATCAACATCAAGACTATATGTGATATTACTATTTTCGCCACTATCCAAATCTGATGCTGTAATTGCCAATGCATTTGCAATTTCATACCCTTCTGTTATCGATATGTTGTATTGTGCATTGCTAAACCTTGGGGCGTTATCATTGTAATCTAGGATAAACACATCCACCGTGGTGTTGGTTTGTAGAGATGGACTTCCATTATCAGTGGCAAACACTATAAAACTCGTGTTCTTGATTAACTCGTAATCGAATGTGTTGTTCAACAGGCTAATATTGCCTGTGAGTTCTGAAAATATAGCGTGGAAGTTGTTCAGTACATGTACATGTGCATGTACATATAAGCACGGGGGAAATTTGCTTACATTTAATTATTTCATAATTTTCTATCAAATATAGGCAGTGCTTAATTTTTTGGGTATACTTGTCTTACGATGGTAAAATGCTGTTGTACCTTGTATGCGAGCACGTTTTCTAATTGTTACTTTTTATCACTAAATTGTATCTCTATTTTGAATAATATCAGAACTTACCATTTATAATAAATCCATCTTTCCTTGCAGTAACATCGATACTATAAGTGATATTGCTATTTTGTCCACTATCGATATCATATGCTTCTAGCTTTAGTACATTGCTTAGTATCTCTCCCTCGATAACTGTTATGTTGTAAGCAAACTGGTTGACAAATATTGGGTCATTGTCGTTTTGATCTAATATGTAGACATAAACGGATGTGTTGCCTTGAAGAGCAGGTTTTCCCCCATCAGTGACAAACACAACAAAACTTGTATTCTGTTCCAGTTCATAGTCTAATGAATTGTTTGGCACACTTATATTTCCAGTTGTGGCTGAAAACATTTTTATATAATTAAGATATAAGTTGTTTGTAAAACATAGCACAGTGGATTGTTAGTTCCTTAAATTAAAACAGTCTTTATTCAATTTGTTAGAATTGTCTATACATTTGATAGATAAGCATGTACAATAGACATTGTACTCACCATCGATTAAGAAGCCGTAGTTAACAGCAGTCGCATCCAGTGTGTAGGTCAGGTTACTGTTTTGGCCACTATCATCATCTGTGGCCTCAACGAGGAGTGCTGATGTAACTGTTTCACCTTCAACGATGGTTATATTGTACAGTTGGTTGACGAATATTGGTGTGTTATCATTGTAGTCCAATATTATCACTTCCACTGTGGTGTTGGATTGTAAAAGGGGACTTCCATTATCAGTGGCAAACACGACAAAACTCGTGTTCCTTAGAGACTCGTAGTCAAAGGTGTTGCTCGGCAAACTTATGTTTCCAGTAAGTTCTGAAGCATATAATAAACATTTAGAGGTTATGTCACTATGACGTGAAATATGCCTGAGTTCTCCCAATATAGGCCGACCTTGGGAGGCTCTATATTTGGGCAAGAACGAAGGCATATTTCACGTCATAGTGACATAACTGATGTATTACATGCCTTTGTTCCCATGGTTACTTTGTATCAATGACGTGACGTCATGATATTATCATGGTTATTAAAGAAATCTAATATCAAAACGAGGTAAGCGGGCTATATCGGGGTAATCGGGCAATATCGGTGGATATAGCTCGCTAACTTTCCCATTGACTTCCATACAAATGCTTCGCTAGGTATGTAATACAAAAATATATTGCATTATTATATATTTCGAAAATATTTCATTCGCGTTATAGAATAATTATGTCTTTGTGTAAAGTAGTGTACTGAATGAATGAATGAATGAATGAATGAATGAATATTTTACCATCAATAACAAAGCCATGATTCATTCCATCACTGTCAAGGCTATATGTAACATTGGCGTTCTGTCCATAGTCTGCATCTGTCGCTATGACAATAAGAGCGGTTCCAAGTACTATTCCCTCTGCAACTGTTATATTATAAGGCAAGTCCAAAAACTCTGGGATGTTATCATTGAAGTCCAAGACAAAGATGTCAATTGTGGTGTTGGACTGGAGGGATGGAATTCCTTGGTCTGTGGCATAAACAGTAAAAGTCGTGTTCTTAGTCGACTCGAAGTCAAATGTGTTGTTGAGTAAAGTAATATTCCCAGATACCTCTGAAATTAAATGCAAAAATAACATTTAAAATGAGCACTTATTTAGATTATCTTTTCTAATTTTTTTAATCATTAATTAATATTGCCAATTGCAAATTTACAAGAGTTGACGAACAAACAAAAAATAATTACCACCAATGACAAATCCATAGTCAATCCCGGCTGGGTCTATGCTATAGGTGATGTTGCTATTTTGACCACTATCAATGTCGGTTGCAATGACGATAAGTACATCGTCAGTTATCTGTCCCTCGGTGACAGTGATATTATAGGATACACCGAGAAATATTGGCGAGTTGTCATTGTACTCCAAGATGTACACATCTACAGTGATGTTGGATTGTAGAGGGGGACTTCCATTATCAGTGGCATATATAGTAAAACTTGTATTATGTTCACTTTCATAGTCAAGCATATTATCCAGCACACTAACGTAGCCTGTGTGTGCTGAAAAGAAGAAACGTCTTTTAAAACTACATATATCTAATATTGAAAAAGCAACTTGAAAAAAATGAACTTATAGAACTTCAAGTTAATTTTGTATGACATAACGATAGCTTAAGGTAAAAAGTAGAAGTACCATCAATGGAGAAGCCGTAGCTGGTGGCCGTAGAGTCGAGACTATATGATATATTACTATTTTGCCCACTATCTAAATCCGTTGCCATGACATTGAGAATATCTGCCACATGGTTCCCTTCTGTCACTGTTATGTTGTACGTGATATTATTAAAAATTGGTGAGTTATCATTGTAGTCCAAAATAAACACATCGACTGTGGTGTTGGATTGTAGAGGTGGACTTCCCTTATCAGTGGCAAACACAACAAAACTCGTGTTCTTTAGAGACTCGTAGTCAAATGTGTTGTTCGTCAAACTAATGTTTCCAGTAAGTTCTGAAATGATGATAATGAGTTTTGATAATGTATTTTGACATTTTATCCACTACAGTGGTTATTCACAAGGATTAAACTTTTGTATTAGTCAAAATTTAAAATGGCAGTTGCTAAAAACTAATTTCATATTATTTTATTACTTACCATTTATTGTAAACCCATATTTTATAGCAGTTGAATCCAAAGTGTACGTCAAATTAGCATTTTGTCCACTATCTACATCAGTTGCTATATCAGCAAGAGCTGTTGAAATACGTTCTCCTTCTGTACATGTTACATTGTAAGACTCGCTGTTGAACACTGGGGCATTGTCGTTAAAGTCCAAAATGAAGACTTCAACTGTGGTGTTGGATTGTAGAGGTGGACTTCCATTATCAGTGGCAAACACTACAAAACTCGTATTCGTTTCCGTTTCGTAGTCTAGTGTGTTGTTCACTAGACTGATGCTACCCGTCAATTCTGTAAATATAATTCGTAAATAATGATTTAATCTGTGTATCAAATTTAGTTGTGTTTTCGTTTAAAGATAATAACGCACAGATGACAACTTAAGCGACATAAAAAAATCACGAATCGTTATGATCAGGGAATTAAAGTAAAATATACGCACCAAGGTTTTAAAGTTAACATGATTAAAATATCTGGAAACTTTGCATGTAAAATCTAAACATTTTTCTATTTCAAGAGGAGGCTTCATACCGTCAATAACGAAACCATAGCTCGTTGCAGTATAGTCGAGGCTATAGGTGACGTTGCTATTTTGTTGTCCAATATCATCATCCATTGCAATGACAACAAATATGTTGCTAAGGATCTCTCCTTCTACAACTGTTATATTGTAAGGCTCTTTCCTAAACGTTGGGTAGTTGTCATTGTATTCGATAATGGACACTATGACCGTTGCATTAGATTGCAGAGTGGGATATCCACTGTCGGTGGCAAATACAACAAAGCTTATGTTGTGTTCTACTTCGTAGTCCAGGGCATTGATGAACAAAGTGATGTTACCACTTGCACCTTAAAGAAAACAATATATTGATACTTTTTGAAATTTTGGAAACATTGAACTTATAAATCGGTCCCCTGAGAATTTGTATTGCTTCATTATACTGGAAGAAATCGAAAGTGTAATCATTTGTTCTTTTTCTAATTTGAAATAGTAAATTAGAAATACGAATATGTATACATGAGTACCAAAGGGAAGGACCAAATAATGTTAAAAAATATATACCATCAATAGTAAAGCCATAGCTGTTCGTTTCATTATCGAGGCTGTATGATATATTGCCATTCTCTCCAGAATCTAAATCAGTTGCCATGACAACCAAGACAGATGCAAAAGATGCGCTTTCTGATATGCTGATGAAGTAAGATCCATTTGAAAATATTGGGGCGTTGTCATTGTAGTCTAAGATAAACACATCCACTGTTGTATTGGACTGCAGAGGTGGATTTCCATTATCAGTGGCAAACACAACAAAACTCGTGTTTTGGAGAGACTCGTAATCGAATGTGTTATTCAGCAAACTTATATTTCCAGTCAGTTCTGAAAATCGAGTAAAAAATTTATATCAACATTATAAGAAAATAGTTGAATCGAACAACTTGATGATCGGATTTTTCTTAACTTTCCGAAAAAATATGTAAATATAAAAACCAACCATCTATAGAAAATCCTAGATTTATGGCATAAGAATCAAGAGAGTATGTCACGTTTCCATTTTGTCCACTATCTTCATCAGTTGCTATTATAGCAAGTAGAGCTGTTATAGCACTTTCTCCTTCAGTACATGTTACATCGTAAGACTCGCTGTTGAACGCCGGGGCATTGTCGTTAAGGTCCAAAATGAAGACTTCCACTGTGGTGTTGGATTGTAGAGGTGGACTTCCATTATCAGTGGCAAACACTACAAAACTCGTATTTGTTTCGGTTTCGTAGTCGAGTGTGTTGTTTACTACACTTATGTTACCCGTCAATTCTGTGAAAACATAATTGTGACAATATATATATTATACCAACAAATATAATGTAACAAAACTATTTTTATTTAAAAATGCTTCAGAAAATGTTTTATGATAACGCTAATATCCATACCGTCAATAACGAAGCCATAGTTAGTAGCAGCGATATCAAGGCTATATGTGACGTTGCTATTCTGTTGTCCAATATCATCATCCGTTGCTATGACAACCAGAACGTTGCCAATGGTCTCTCCTTCTGTAATTGTTATATTGTAAGACTCGCTGTTAAGGGCTGGGGCATTATCGTTGTAATCAAATATAAACACGTCCACTGTGGTGTTGGATTGTAGAGGTGGGGTTCCATTATCAGTGGCAAACACAACAAAACTCGTGTTCTGAACAGACTCAAAGTCAAATGTGTTGTTCAATAAACTGATGTTGCCAGTCAATTCTGAAATAAAACAGTAAAGTTTGATATGAATGATATACATTACGATAACCTACTAGTACGTGCAAAATGCGTAAAATTAGTAAACATTATTTCACAAATTGGTTGTCTTACGGTCTATAGTGAATCCATAACTAGAAGCGCTGGCATCTAAAGTATAAGTGACATTGCTGTTCTCTCCACTATCCAAATCACTTGACACGACAGCAAGGACATTTGCAATGTTTTTACCCTCAGTGATCGAAATGGTATATGGCAATTGACCAAATAGCGGTGCATTATCATTGTAGTCTAAAATAAATACATCCACTGTGGTGTTGGATTGTTGAGGTGGATTTCCATTATCTGTGGCAAACACAACAAAATTCGTGATCTGGAGAGACTCATGGTCGAATGTGTTGTTCAATAAACTGATGTTGCCAGTCAATTCTGAAATAAAACAATAACATTTCTATATGAATTATATGAAAAACATCATACAAAGATACTTTATCAGAACCTGAATTGATCACCTGCTGAATCCCCCAGGGTTCAATTCTCGGACCATTGTTTTTTATCCTATACATCAATGATATCTACCTTTCTTCTCGACGACTATTTTTTGTGCTTTTCGCAGATGATACCAATTTATTGATACAAGGGAAAGATCTAAGTGACATTGCAGATATTCTCAATACTGAATTAAAACAGCTGACAAAACAAAATATATTATATTTACTTCAACTCAAAAAAGATATAATCCAAATGATATAAGCATTTTTCTAAATAAAAAGAAGCTTCAACAAGTTGATCACATAAATTTTCTTGGTACAACAATTGATCAGAACCTAAATTGGAAGCGCCATGTTACATCTGTTAGTGCAAAAATCTCTAGAACTATTGGTATTCTATATAGGGTTAAACATCTGTTGAATAATAAAGGATTCTTGAGCATCTATTACTCGCTTATATACTCTTATCTGATATACGGAAATGTTATTTGGGGTGAAGCGGGTAAAGGTATATTAAATTCACTACATCGTCTCCAGAAAAAGTTCACACGCATTGCAACAAATTCTGATTATCGAGCTCATTCTCTTCCCTTAATCAAACAACTAAACATTTTAAATATATTTGACATAAATAAGCAATTGAAATGCCTTTTTATGTACAAATGGATTAATGGACTTGATAATTATCAGAAAATTTTCCCAAACCTCTTTAAAACTATCCAGGAGAGACATAATTACAACACCCGAAACAAGTGTTCTTATGACAAGACCAAAGTACGAACAAATTATGGTAGAGCTATGTTGTCTTTCAATGCACCGATAATTTGGAATGAATTAACTGATGAAATGAAATCATCTGAAACCATCTTAATTATGAAAAAAAAGAACTTAAAAGTACCTTCTTAATCAATAGTATCATACATAGTCTATGTTAGTTTTATAATGATTTGCGGGCCTAATTTGACACACACTATTAAGCAGAAACAAATAGTATGCATTATTGCACAAGCAGATCCCCCATCTGTTCATGTATTATTATAAAACACGGGAATATACACATTATGTGTCACCCGTTTATTGTAACCTGTTGTAAAGATATGATTAAATAAGAATAAATTCAAAAAAAATTTAAAAATATATATATATAGATGTACTCAATGTGCATCAATGTTTAAACCTGGATATGTAGAGAACATGTGATATTTCACAAATTGTTATCTTACGGTCTATAGTGATTCCATTACTAGAAGCGCTAGCATCTAAAGTGTAAGTGACATTGCTGTTCTCTCCACTATCCAAATCACTTGACACGACAGCAAGGACATTTGCAATGTTTTTACCCTCAGTGATCGAAATGGTATATGGCAATTGACCAAATAGCGGTGCATTATCATTGTAGTCTAAAATAAATACATCCACTGTGGTGTTGGATTGTTGAGGTGGATTTCCATTATCTGTGGCAAACACAACAAAATTCGTGTTCTGAACAGACTCAAAGTCAAATGTGTTGTTCAATAAACTGATGTTGCCAGTCAATTCTGAAATAAAACAGTAACATTTAAGATGTGGTCGACAATACAAATATTGCACAGGAACTACTTGTAAATGTAACGTATTCATTTCCATTATATTATGAGTGCCATCGCCCCTTTGACAATAGAAACTGTTGGTTGGTTGGCGGTTGGCTAGTTTGCTAGCTATCTCATACACTTTTTTACCCCACTCCCGTGTTTTTGTAAACTTAAATATGTTTTAACGCTTACCAAGAATAGTAAACCCAAAGTCAGTTGCAGCTACATCGAGGCTGTATGAAATATTTGCATTTGCAAAACTATCAGCATCTGTTGCCGTGACAACTCCCAGATTCACCTCACTAAGACCTTCTGTCACTGTAAAATTGTACTCTGACGTCATGAATATAGGCAAGTTGTCGTTAACGTCGATGACGTTGACGGTAACGTCAATGGTGACATTATTGCTGGCATTGATGTACTCCACTACCTGTAAGATAGAAGAATAACCCCACTGTGTGACTTGACAGTCAGAAAAAGTGCTAAAATTGACAGATCGAGATACATGCAAAGGAAAATGCTTTTATACATAAGATATGCTATAAATGAATAGTCAATGAGAAACATTTGTAGCATAGAGTCACTTTAAATACGTCCTTTTTATTGTAGACTTACCAAAATGCTAAAATTGTAAAATTCTGTAGTTTCTCTATCTAATACTCCAGTTAGTACGATATTGCCAGTAGAGTTGTTCACTGAAAATGTATCCGTATAATTTGATAAGGTCAACTCAAGAGAGACACCAGAATAGTTTCCGAGTGTTTCATATAAGTTAGCAATCGTAGTCCCGTTTGTAGAATCTTCATCCATGTCAATGTTAAGTGTGGCATTCGGTGGGACTAATTGTTGTGATTCAGAATATCCGATAGAAATCAAGAGAAATAAACACGTTGTGCACATAACCACAGCATCCATTTTGAACATGATAAATTCTATGCTACCATCAATTGAAAAGAATAATAAAGCATTGCCTAAATTACTTAATATCCACGATATAAGTGCTAGTTTCCCATTTTGGTCATTCCGAACTATTGATTCATTTCAGTTTTGACGGGGATCAACCACATCGTATCAATGATCGCATAATTGAAATCCTATATGAAAGAACTTACCATTAAGGTTATTCGCCATTCATAAATGCAATCCTATTTAATTGGCATTAAAGGATATATAAACTATAATGTAAGTGAATTAGTATTTTGAAAGGTTGTCAAGGTAGGATAATTTAGATGAAAGTAGATGACCTTCTTAACTGTAGATTAGATAGATAGATTTAGCATCACACTTAGCTTCATTTTCTAGTGATTCCATTAACTTGCGTTCTTTGAGTCTATACTTTATGAACTATCCATCAAGTAATTATTTTGTTCTTTATGTGTTCATCATGGATCGCATATTTATATATTTATTTGATTTCATGAAAATGACAATATACGTATCACGCGGTACTGACTTCAATCGTTAATTTGAATATTTGACCTACCAAATGTTTGAAAATCAAGGATTGCAAGTCTCATACTGCACCGTTTTTCTTCAGACTTCTTTCATTCAAAGCATAACAAAAATGCCTTTCTGTTGGTCAAATATTTTTTGACCTTGAGAATGTCATTGAAGGTCAAATCTATAGTCAGATTTGAACTTTTGAGAACTTCTAGGTGATTTTGAAAAAAGAATTGGTCAATTTGAAGCAAGTTAAAAAAGACCTTTTTGACCTTGAGAAGGTCAATGAAGGTCGAATCTCAAATCTAAAGTCAGACTTGAATTTCTGATAACTTGTAGAGGATTTGAAAAAATGGTCATTTTGAAGCAAGTTCAAAAAAGATCTTTTTGACCTTTTTTGACCTTGAAAAGGTCACCGAAGATCAAATCTTGAAGGTCAAATAGAAAGAATATCGTTCAAGATCGCACAAGCCCCATATCCCCCCCCCTCCACATACAGCCTGGCTGAGGGCCTGAGTAATATAAAGAAGACTTCAGGCAAAAAATGTGCGTGCGTGTTATTTGGAAAAAGAAATAACCCCATAGTAACTTTAAATCATGATGGTCATTTCGAAAAAGCTCAATCAAAAGCTACGAAAACCAAATTTAGTCTCCTGTTTAAAAGCCCTATTCTTCACTAAATTGGTTAGATTCTAAGTTTGCTCAGTAACATATTTCTCCTACTAACGAGAATGACCAGAATAGTGGAACCAATTCTAAAAGAAATCTCAACTTCTAGTGGAATGCGCATCGGTTTGTTTACGAAAACTAAGACTTACTTCATCATCTGGCTTAGACAAATTTAATTTGCTCGTACAGTACTAGGTTTTTATTTTATCATGCAAAAGATAACGGTTAAGAATAGAAAATGGAATTTCATTGCTTCACAAAAAAACGTTGTAGAAACGAACGTTTTGATAATACAAATACAATATTTCAGGATGTCAAAATCCACCTCATTCTAAAAAAGTTGTCTAAATTCCATGATGATCACTTATTGAATAAAAGAAGTTAAAAACTTCTAAAAGGTCTCCTTATCAATCCTTCTCTTTTACATTTCTTCGTAGGAGGCGAAGAAGTAATATTAGGGAGTTTAAGCTTGCGTGTAAAATCGAAACGCCGACCTATGTGTCGAAGCTTACCGTAACCGAACATTATACCATATACTACATTGATAGTTTCTGAAGTTTGAACTAAAATATTCACGGTCAAGTTGACTGTCTACGATGTTGTTACAAACATTTACTTATAAAAATATCTAGAAACTAGATCAGATCTTTCTGAAACGATGAAAACATCAGTTTGCTCAAATGTCATCACCCTCGTGTTGTACCTACCCTAGTACCCTGCACATTCACCTGTCACGCTTAATCTGGTACACACCCTTTGATAATAGGACCCGGTCCATTCAAAATTAAACTAATTGAAAGATTTAACAAATATAATATAAACAAGGCGAAAGGAATATATTACATTTTGATCATAGGGGTAGTTCAAAATAATTTGCATCTAATAATTTCAAACGATAATGTTCACTCACATTTTTTTTTTTACATTATTTCCATTTATATTTAACAATTCAATACTAATATCCAAGGAAACATGTTTATTGTTTGTTTGATACACACATATGTGATAAATAGTATCTTGTTTGAAATTAAACCAGACTTATTGAACGAAAATATGTTAATTTTTTATTCCTTAGAAAATTGCTCACGTTACGAAATGTCTATATAGTTCCAATGATGCCGCTTACGAATTTATAAAATATAATGTGTTTCCTTTACACTTCAAGAAAAAACCATCGTAATATGAATATTTTAATTTTCGAAATTTGTATTTTTTGAAATGTCAATTATCGTAAATTGGCCCGCATACACATTACTTTATTGATTCATGTACTTTTTGTTCACGGTTAAGTTGTGAAAAACATTGCAAGCTTAAACTGTCTCTCTATTATATCGATGATGATTCAATCGTCTTCTGAACTAAAAGGGTCACCTTGCGAAAAAATAACCGCTTTTATAACCATTCAAGTTGAACCACGAGAAGAAATGTTCTGTATATTAATTCAATATTTTGCAAAAAACATTCCATGCTCATTCGATTTCATAGCCTTTTGAATATTCGAGAATGGGTCTTGCATGTCAATAAATCAATTCAGATTTTAAGGAGGGTCAGCACATAAGAGTCACATTCAAGCAAATATGGTTGGGCAATAAAAAATGAAAAATGCATCTAATTAAGAAACATTATAAGTGTATGTACGTCATTAATGGACTTATATTACTTGTATGTTTGAGAGGATTCTAAACATAGGTTTTTGTTTTTGCGCAGTTACATGGCATCAACAGACATACTTGATTAATGGATGGTGTGCTCAATTCATGTTCCACTGTTCTGGATAAAATGCAGCATTGATTAGATGGCATGAGTTGATGACAAGAAAGAACAATACTTAATATCACTCAAAATGCGTTTAATGAGAAAGAACAAATGCATTCTTTTGTTGATAATAGTAACGGTTAGCTTGAAGCTAGTGCATGTGTTCATTGCTGAATTAGATAAGAAGTGTGATAATGAGCGATGTAATGAAACTGTACAATTACAACCGAGATATGTAATATCACTGATAGAAGCTAAAGGAAGGCTTCTCGTGATTTCACATGTGATGCTATGTTGAACATTATAACAACATTTCCAGTCTTGGAGTCTTCTAATGATATTGCCTCGCATGGATTTCTTAATATGTCTATCGAACGATTTAAAAATCGCCAAATGGACTTTATTCGGTCTCTTTCATTAAATATGAAGCACCCATGTGTTGAAAGAATACATCTTCTCGTGGAAAACCCAAACGTTGAAAAATATTTAAAATCGCTGACAACAACTCTTTTCTCCCCTTCGGACATCGACACAATGGTTCGTTTCCACAAATTACGAGGTTTCCCCACTTACAAGGATTATGCCGCGTACGCAAATGAGCATCTGATGTTTAAGAATATTGCTATAATGAACGCTGATATATCTCTTGGAGAAGGATTTAACCTGATCAAAGATAGATATTTAGTGGAGCATAGGGTGGCATATTGTTTAACTAGACATTCTACTGCATTGGCCAACTGCACCCCAGATGTTAACTTTTGCACCAGACCGCCGTACAAAGGATCTCACGATGCGCACGTTATGTTCATGGACATACCTTTTGACAAATGGAGCCTAAATTTTCTCGATTATCCAATTAATTTACTGGGTGTTGAGAACCTGTTTATGTACACGATCACAAAGAGATTGAAGAAAAATGGATTGAATCCATGTACAATTTTAAAAATCCACCATAACCACTGCTCGGGATTACGCTCTGAACAAACGACAGATACACGGGGTACCATCGAATAATTTTGGCAACGTACCGGAGAACGACATTTTACTAAGAAATGGTAATAATTTAGCACAATATATTTTTTAACTAGAGTTCTATTTTGATTTTGACAAAAGTAAGTATTCCATGCAATAACTATTTTATTCATGAGTTTGTAGGAATTCTGTTGGAACCCAGTTCTGATCAAGTACGAAGTTATTGAAATCGGCGCAGACGGACTTTACTCCGAAAGATGGTTTTTCGATTATAACTTTTCACAACATTTAAGTATAGACTTTTGAAAAAAGTACAGAATAGTCCTTATACTTTTGAATAATTCTGTTATTTCTGATTCACACGACTCTGATTTGTTTAATTTAAAAAAAAGTTTTAAAAATATTACTTAGGAACGTAACCGGAGCTGGGAACGTAACCGGAGCAGATCAGTTGAATTATTTAATCAAAAAAAATTAAAATATATGATTTAAAGCACATATACTAATTTAAAAACATACGGGATTGTTCGAGTGCGTATTTATTAATATATATGCTTTAAATCATTTTTTTAAATTATATAATTCAACTGATCTGCTCCGGTTACGTTCCCAGCTCCGGTTACGTTCCTAAGTAATATTTTTAAAACTTTTTTTTTAATTAAACAAATCAGAGTCGTGTGAATCAGAAATAACAGAATTATTCAATAGTATAAGGACTATTCTGTACTTTTTTCAAAAGTCTATACTTAAATGTTGTAAAAAGTTATAATCGAAAAACCATCTTTCGGAGTAAAGTCCGACTGCGCCGATTTCAATAACTTCGTACTTGATCAGAACTGGGTTCCAACTGAATTCCTACAAACTCATGAATGAAATAGCCATTGCATGGAATACTTACTTTTGTCAAAATCAAAGTAGAACTCTAGTTAAAAAATATATTGTGCTAAATTATTGCCATTTCTTAGTAAAATGCCGTTCTCCGGTACGTTGCCAAAATTATTCGATGGTACCCCGTGAGATAAGAAGAAACGAATAAATCGTGGCAAAAATGCCACATATTCAACGCTCATCGAAATTTCTAAAAAATTATTTTGACAAAATGAGTATATAGTGCTGCAACAATCATGGCTCTGAAGGCAAGATATAGTTTTATCTCTAACCAAATATTCCTGTTTAAAATCACGAATGATTCATCAACTTTCTTCTTGATTTTTTCACAAGTCTACACCTTGTATATAAT